ATCGGAAGATTAGTACTGAGTTCGTGCCTTGGTTCATCGCCTTGTGAAGCAGAAGAGTATCTCTCGGCTATTATCATCAAAATCCATCATCGTTTTATTTTTCTTCTTTGGTGTGTTTATTTAAATGGCGACTCCTATTCGATTGCAGTTATAGTAACTGCAGATTGGACAATTACTTTGTGTATTCCTGAGTCTTGGGTTACGTATGTTGTAGTCTTGAATTTTGGATACAAACAAGCTGAAAGAGCTCGACGATCCAACGAACAAATCAGAGAAATTAACCAGTATGGATTCGGGTGATTGGAGAGGGAACATTCCGCTTGAATTGCGGCAAAACGTTCTCGAGGCAGTGTAAGCATTCGCATTGCACAAGGAGATGTGTGTTGTCGAATGTCGGCTCTTGAGGTATCCGATATTAATATCGTTTAAAAACTGTATTCTCGTTCGGATTGCAGAGTGGAAAAGCTGAAGCAACGTCTTCCTTCTTGCACTCCAAAGGACGAGGCTTATCTCAGGAAAGTTGCTGTTAGTTTTGAGGCCAAGACCTTCAATAATGCAACAGATCAGGTATAGTTATGGCTCTATTATAATCATCCATCCTTGTCATTATATATATATATATATATATATATATAAATTGTGTTTTTTCTCCAATTTTTCAGGCTGATTATGTGCATAAGAGCGCTTCGAGGATTATTGACGTGTGGAACAAAACTAAATACGCTCAGTCGGGCAATCCTCAACAGCAACAGCAGCAGCAACATACCCGAAGTTCAGCACGACCTAATCAGAAGCGAGTGCCTCAGCAGACATCATCTGTTCAATCTGGTCAATGGATGACTGGTTCAGAAATGCAGCATAATCATTTAACAGGGATGCATCGGCAACAGCATCAGCAACAGCAGCAGCAGCAGCAACCAGCAAATTTATGTCTAAAGATGCCAAGTAACCAGCATGCTGCTAATTCATTCCAATGTCCAAATTTTCAGCATCCACCGATACTGCGTCAGGGGATGATGGTTTGGCCACAACAGCAGCAGCAACAATGGTTTCAAGGAGCGGGTCCTGTGCTCCAGACCCAGAACGTAACGGACCAACAGATGCAGATATATCAATCTCAAGGAGCTCCTGTTTATTCATCCAGTATGTTTATTTTTCATGCATGTTTCATATCTTATCAATCTTTGGTGATTTCAACTCAAGTAATGCTTTATGGTTATGTGACTTTATTTCTTTTGGTAGCACCTCAAGATTACACAGGCAAGACCAGAAGTGATGATTGGCTGGAGGAGACTTATCAGAAGGTAATCTCGTGCCCTTTTTTGTCCTTACCTCGTCACTTCACAATTTGTATTCAGAATTCACCTTGTGAATAAGAATCTTACCTTTTGAAGATTCTTTTGTTGTCTTGCAGATAAATGCCTTGAAGGAAATGTATTTACCTGCTGTCACTGCAGTGCGCCAAAGATTGCAGCTGGTAATTTACATCTTTACTGCACCAATTTGTTTTCTCCTTCGAGACTTTCTCTTTCCAAGGCACGAGCCTTCGAGATTTTCTTTTGCATTGCCTTAATTCAGTTGTGTTTCATATGCAAAACTTTCCAGATTGAATCTCGTCCGCGACAGCAAATGCATGATCCTAAGATCGAAAGAGTGAGGACCGACAAGATGATGTTGGATCGAATTATAGCCTTTTTAACTGTTCCTAGAAACGGTGTCTCGGAGATGCACATGGAGAAGTTCAGTTATTACGAGAATAAAATCTTGAATTTCGTCAAGAATCTGAGGCAGCAAGAACCACTTTGGCAGCAGATGCTGAGACAGCAGCAGCAACAGAATGTGAAAAACCAACTGCAAGAACAACTTCAGTGGCAGAACCTGAGACAGCAGCAGCAACAGCAAGAGCCACTTTGGCAGCAGATGCTGAGACAGCAGCAGCAACAGAATGTGAATAACCAACTGCAAGGACAACTTCAGTGGCAGAACCTGAGACAGCAACAGCAACAGCAAGAACCACTTAGGCAGCAGATGCTGAGACAGCGGCGGCAACAGAATGTGGAGAACCAACTGCACGAACAACTTCAGCAGCAGCAACAGCAAGAACAACTTCAGCAGCAGAATCTGAGACAGCAGCAGGAACAGAAAGAACCACTTTGCTGGCAAGTTCTGAGACAGCGGCAGAAACAGAATGTGAAGTACCAACTGCAAGATCAACTTCAGCAGCGCCTGATTCAGCAACATGTGATGCAGACAGAGCAGAGGATCCGGCAGCTTCAAATGCCATCCCCTCATCAGGAAAACAGCACGAGTGATCTGATGATGAGGCAAGGGATGAATATTCAGTCAACACCAGTCATGGCCCAGTTGACTGCATCTCCCCAACTGCCCCATCGTTCATCTCCTGTTGTTGTTCCATCTCCTATAGCTCCGAATCCTGGAAACGCTATATCTATTACTTCCTGTTCTAGTTTGCGATCCTCACTTGAATCTGTTCACGTTGGCACTGATGCAAATGTTCCTGCAGCTATTCCTCCCGATCCAAGTGGAGAACGGCCTATCGAACATCTGATTAAAGTGGTTAGTGAAAACTCAATACCCCTCTTCTACAGTGTGCTGATTCAAGTTTTGAAGTCTCTTTTCTCTTTTCTTTCCAGTTTCAATCATCATCACCAAAATCCTTGCAAGAATCTGTTAGAGAGATGAGCTCGGTCATCAGTCTGGCGGACAGGATTGCGATATCAGCCCCAGGTGATGGGTCTAGAGCTGTCGTTGGTGAGGATTTGGTTGAGATGACAACGTGCCACTTGCCAGCCAAAAATGTTACGGCAAGTGAAGGAACAAACTCGAAGAAGAAAATGAAGCGGTCTCTAAGACTGCCGCCTTTAGATATTGCTCCATCAATTGGCAATACAAGAGGTCCAGAATCTGAAGTGGAATCCACGGCTTCATCTTGCGCGAAAAGAAGGAAGATTGAGGTATGTTGAATCACAAAAGGCCATGATCAAGGGGTTCTTTATGTTTCTCACCTCACACTGATTCACCTGGAGAAACGCCATTTCTGATTTTGCAGCCTGAACCTGTCCTCCTGCGAGAAATTAGAGAAATAAACCAGAGAATGATAGATACAGTGGTAGATGTATGCGATGTTAGTCGTGAAACTTCCGCCGAACAACCTCGTGGTGGAGGAGGAACTGTTGTCACGTGTTCTTACAGTGCAGTGGCTCTCAGTTCAGCATTCAAAGCTCATTACAATTCTCGACAGATAGTATAAGCTCTTTCTGACTTTCTTTTCTTGCAGTCTCTTCACTGTAACCGATATTTATGTCCACTGCTTGTGTCAGTCTCAGATTCAGCCATTGCATTTGCTAATTCCTGAAGATTACCCAGATAGTTCCCCTTTACTTCTGGACAAGTTCCCCACTGAAACCAGGTAAGGCAAATGAAAGAAAGAAAGAGATCGTATTCTGATTTTTCGATCTTTTCCTGATAATATTTTCTGCATATTGCAGTAAGGACTGTGAGGATCTATCAGCGGAAACCAGTTCGAGATTCAGGTTATCCCTAAAGTCACTTTCGGAACCAATGTCTCTTACAGATATAGTAAGAACGTGGGACACTTGTGTCCATGCCGCCATGGCTGAGTATGCAGAGAGCCGAGGAGGAGGTAACTTCAGCTCCAAGTTTGGTTCATGGGAGAAATGTCTAAAAGGCTCTTCATGAGACAAACCGATTCAGACATCTTCATCTTCCTCAAGCTGTTTATACCCTCTCATCGTTTCAGACAAAACCCAAATCCTGGAATGGAGAATTTGGAACTTAAGTAAACGATATATTCATCTTCTGATAGAAAACAGGGTGGTTTTGAAAGGCAGGAGCTTGTAACCCAAGTTATAGGTACATAACATTTCTTTTGTGGAAATATATTGCATTCCAAATATTTTTGAAACAGAGATTTATACAATACCCCATACAACCTGTACTGCAGCAAGTGTTTGAGTGGGCATATACGTATGTCAATCTATATGAATGGTATATTACATTTAACCAGACAACAAAATCTTGCTGTTTTCATTAAAATAAAAGGAACCCATGGAAAAAAGAAACTAGCAGTGTTAGTTAGGCTTATGTTCTTACCAATGTACTTTGTGCTGTATCTCAAGTAGAAACATGTAAGGGCAAAGAGAAAGACTCTATAGACACTTTTTGGTTACTGTTTATAGATACAAAGAAGAAGGTGTAAGATTATACGGCAGACCAGACAAAACACTTTCAGGTGAATTCACCTCGCTAACACACTCACTGACACTCATAAATAGACATCAAATGAAGAAGTATCACTGCCAAAACCAATTACCAGACCTCGACAACTACAACTAGACAGATCTTCTCAACACACTTGAACCGTGTTCTTTCTCATGCATGCCCTCGGAGAAGAACCAAAGCAGAAAAGAATGTCAAGAGGAGAACAAACCGGGAAGTTACAAGGCGCGGACTGGCGTTGGGGAACCACGGGTAGGCGTCGGGAGGTGGCATGACACAGTTATCGCCATTGAAGTAGACTCGTCGGGGAAAGGCCCAACCTTTTTCGAAAGTGAATGTGGAAGGGTTCTTTCGGAAGAGAAGCTCTGACTGTACGTTGCCTAGCGGACCAGCCTGGCTCAGCAGGTCGTTGTAGAACTTTATTCCCCAAAGCATGGCTGTGTCATCTGCACAAAAGAAAGAAGAAGAACAAAACAAAGAATGATTCTTTGATAGGAGATTTCAGTTTGGTAAGATGTAAGAGAGTATTCGGAGAGAATATACACGAGTTTCATTGTTTAGAACTTGGTTAAGGTGGTGAAAGTTCGAGCCTTTAACCCAGCATTCAGAACCAGATAACCATGAAAAGCCAGAGGAAGACAGAAAGATTTTAAAGTATATTTCTTTCTGAACTTACTTATGTTAGTGTATGGAGTAAGGGGTTTGTAATTGAAGCTGAAGATCTGAGTGAGATTGTCGAAATTGGGATGCTGAACAACCAAGTTCCACTGAGTGTAGTTCATGTTGTAGTTGAAGTTAGTAATGGTGACCTTCACTCTCCAGTACTCTTTGTAGTTAACCTTTATGTGCCAGTGAACTCTGATCGGACACATATGTTGCGTACATTGGACAAGCGGTGCGAGATTGTTCTTCCCCGAAGGAGCTGGTATGACTGAAGCTATATTCGGGCTGTTACGCAAAGCGAATCAGATCAGAAACGTAAACATGTAAACCAGTCGGAAGAAACATGACTTTTTCTCCGGCATGAAGGAACTTACTCCACGCATGTATCCGGGGCAGTAGTGTTTCGACACCCGCAGGCACAAGTTGGGCACGATACTATCGTGTCGTTGTAGAAAGACGAGAGGGAGACACAACAAGTTGGGGTTTTCTGAGCCAGGAACTGCGAATATGTACATGTCACATTCCATGTCACTGCCAAAGTGAGGAGAGAACAAGAACGTTAAACTAGAAACATGAAAAACGAATAGTAAGAAGGAAATAGTAAGTTAAGAACGATCCCAAGATAAGCCCGTTAAACTTCTCTTATAAGGTTTTTGTACAAAAATTGGCTAAAACTACCGGTTTAGGATCTCTTTTCTTGTTATTTTCAAGTGGGAAACACCTTATTCTGATCATTTACAATGTTATTATCCACTTGAAACTTTATTAGACAACAAGATTGAAGGAAATGATCAGAGAAAACTTACTCAAAGCTTGAGTAAATCTTCGATTATCGGCAGTGATGAATCTGCTAGGCTTAACAATTTTGGCTGGCCCACAAGTGTAACCGGGACCTGGAGCCTTCAAAGTGAAATTCCTAGGAACCCTAACCGTCTTATTACTTGTTCCAGCTTGGCCAACACTAATCTGAAATGAGGCAGAGGCGGTAGCAGGGTCTTGAGCCCACGAGTTTATGACCCCGCCCTTGCAGCAATTTGCTATCTGCTGGTTATAAGGAGTGCCCGGTAATAAGTCAACGATAGTCGGGCTTTTCTTGCAGCAGTGAGGGATATTGCCCTTGAATTTTGAACAATCTCCTTGTTCGGTGGATTGACCACCCAACATGCTCCATATAACTTCCTTCTTAGCCCAAGTCCATCCCAATTGCCACCCGGGCGCCTGTATGTGACGGTACTGTTGGAAGTTGTACATCGTTACAACGGCCTGCAGATAAAAAATGATCATTCATTGAGATAGTTTGATATCAAACTGGAAAATATACTCGAAAAACATGAAACAATGTGATTAAGCAGCTGCAACAAGAATCATTATATATTTATGATATATCAAGAAACATGGAGCTATTCACCATCAGTGATAATATTACAGGACTTACCACATAGCCATCAGGAGTCCAGCTCATGACATCCCATTTGATTGTAATATTGCCATTTGGGTCAAGGGCATCATAGGCCTCTGAAAGACACATCAAACAGATGAATTTCATAAATGGAACCATAATATTTGATAAGTTTTTCCATCACTTCTGCACATTGAAATTAATCAAGAACAAAGCTCAAAGCTCAAAGCTTTTAGAACTCTGAGATTCAAAAAACAATCAGAGACACATATACACATACACATCTCTATCTCTATGGGCATTGACAGGACACCTATACAACAGAAACACTCTTCGTCGTCGTCATCATCATCATCATCACCATAACCATTGTCAGGATCCTTATTAATATCACCATTGTCATCCTGAGTATCAAAATCATAATCCTCTACTACTGCTAGTGCCATGATACAACAGTAATGATAATAGAATAGCTGAAGCAATCCAATGACTGCATTAGTATAGTCCCAATTACAAATAATCTGAAATCTCCCACTATGTTCCCAATGTTGGATTTGTGAGGTTATGATCGCAACAACATAAAACCAGAATATGCATTAAGTTCCAAAGGTTAAAAACAAAAACCCCATTTTTTTCTTAATCAACTATAAAAAATTTCTCGGAATAACCCAAAACGATCATCGCCCATTTATAGAAACAAAGAAAGATTGATAACCCAGAAATCGGAAAACGAAGAAAAAAAACAAAAAAAAAAATCTCTCAGCAATGAACGGACCAAACCTGTGGGGGTGAAGCCGTTCCAAGAAAGGAGGAACAAAAGCAAAACCGCTAATCTTGAGAAGCGAATATCCATTTCCGGAAATCTGATCGCCGGGATCTTGGTCTTCGCGTCGCCGGCGAGACAGAGAGAGAAACGCGGAGAAGACAGGGTTTTCAGTGCTCCAAAGCTAAAAGTTGCTAGTTTCTACTTTTCATACTGAAGAAATTGTATATATATTAAAGTCCAATAAATAATTCTTCTCTTTCTTTAGTTATGCAAGAAAGCCAAAAATTTTGTGGGGATAATGTATATAGGGAAGATTGTATCTGTTTTAAAGAAAACTTAATTAAAAATTATAGAGGATAAAGTCTACGTTTATCATTTAAACTTTAGCCAAATATTTGGTAGAAACTAATTCATTTCAATTTATTTGCCATATAATATAGAATATTACATGATAATTGACAAATTTATAAGAGGAAGTGCATGAAAAACGGCTAACATTTGTTTATCATCGAGTTAAGGTGGTAACCCTCTACCAAACTCCGATAAACTAAATGAAAGAATGTTGAATTATAAATATATTTTATTTATTTTTTGCAAATAAATAATATTATTTCAGTGGAGCACGGATCGTCTACAGCTATATGTGGTGCAAAGACAGGTGTTTAAAGAAAACGACAGACTGGTAAGTGAAGGGCAATTTTGTCCACTCAAGTGTGAAATTCGTGGTTCTGGTTCGTCTGTCATAAAAGAATTCCTCACAGCCTGTCGTTTTTGAACATGCTTCGTCGGCGTACACGTCAGCGCATGTCTGTTCGGGTTCTTTTATCCTGCGGGTCCACGTGAAATTGGAAGTTTCTCGAAATGGTTTATTTTGGGCTTTTTTTTTTTGTGAATTGGGCCTAAGCCTCATGATCTATTACCGACACGGATTTTTAAGACATAATTTTTTTTCCCGACAATGGGCTTTAATTTATTTATTTTTCTTTGGAAGTTAAGAATTCTTTTTAATTTATAAAAAGAAAGAAAATTTGTATTTAACATGTATATATATATTTGAAAGACGTGTTCTATCAGGCGCCAAAAAACATCAATCTTATAATCACTTGAAAAGATTTAACTTGGTTAATCTTTAGTTGTTACCGTTCAATAAATATGAATCGGGCGTTTTGGTAGATAGGGTTGTGCAACTCGCATCTAATGAGAGGCCGAAAACGCATTGACTTTATCGGTGGGTAAAATTAAAATGGGACAAAATACCAATAATGCTGTCCTTGGACAGTTGGACCCACATAAAATTGTCTGTAATAATCACACCATTGCCATTAAATGATTAAATTTGTTTCATAAACATTTATTTTTTTACATTTCGCCATTCAATTATCTAACATTAGTCGTAACGGTGAAATGATTGATCTTGGATTAAAAAAATAAGGGTTTGATTTTGATGTTAAAATAACCACTCCGCTATAAATATCGTATTCATCCACAATCCCTCACACACACACAAAAAAACTAAAGGAGATGAAATCATCACTCTTCTTCTTCCTTCTCCCTCTCCTCCTATGGCCCGCCGCCGCATCCGCCGGGAATGCCACCGTAGGCTGGGTTCACGAGAGTTGCTCCGTCTCCGGAGAATGCAACGCCGGCGACGGAGAAGTGATTCTCCGGCGGTTTCTTCAACAGCAAAACAAGTTGGCCGTCCGTTCACTTCAGCCACCGCCGCCATGTAGAGCAAAGATATACGGGAATTGCATCGCACCTGTTAATCAAGACGCCAGTGATTGCACTGTCTATAATAGATGCAAACGTGGGTTTTCAAGTTAACCAGTGTTTTCGTTTACTAATCAGGGTTTATCTCTAATTCGGAATGTTAATTAGAGATGATTATGCATGTAATATTATATAATCCTGTTGTATAAACAATAACGTGTTTTAATTTCGATTGGATCTGTAACGTGGAATGCAGAATCATACAATTCCTTGAGCTTTTTTTTTTACCATAATTTAAAATTAAGTCAGGGAATATATGAATCTCACAAGTCACAAGTATAAGCAAACACACAGTGTACATTCTCATACAACAGGAAAAGGAGGAAAAAAAAAAATCAACAGAAAGAGAGAAGAAAATCTGGGAAAAAAGGAGACTTGATTATCCTCTTTTTGAGCCAAAGGCTTCTATCTGCCTCTTTGCTCTTTTTCATCATGTGAAGAGGATTATATATATATATATATATATATTCAAAAAAGATATGATCAGTCACTGATCTTGGTGATCTCTATCAGTATCTTGTGTAAAGCTTGAGGCTTTGAGAAGAAAGGGGAATGATCACCGCCTTTTAGCCGGAAAACCTTTTCCGGCGGACTACTGTTTATCATTTTCTCTTGGAGGGTTACCGGCATGGCGTAGTCTTCCAGCGTTTCCACGTAGAACCGTCTCACCGATCCATATCTTCCATCGGAAAGCGACAGTTTCTCGAGAATCGGGGCAAAGGGGATGGGCTTCATCGAAACACATGCCAGTGCAATGTCCTGTAATAACCAAAAGTGGAGACCCCAAAGGGTAACAGCAAGAAAGGAGAAAGCTTGAAAATTGAAGATGGACAAAGAATCCAAGCAATCCTTGGATAGTGAACACACACCTTTGAAGGGCTTTGATTGAACAGTAAATCTTTAAGGAGAGATTTGTCCAAGTCGATAGCGGTTGGAGGACGGCCATTCCCATTTGGATACCGAAAAATCTGAGCTTTTCTCATCAGATCACTCTGCCCTTCCTGCAAAAGTGTATCCATTGCCACCATCATTCTGCGGACAAGAGAAAAAACCGAAATGGGAAATGGAAGCGTTTCTAGAAAATGCAAAACCTGCTGAGAGAACACGTCGAGGGCACTCTGACCAGTGGTTAACATTGCAGCGGCGACGAAAACGGCCTTTGAAATCTTCGAAGGAAACAATTCCATGGCGTAAGAGATGCACGCTCCACCAAAGTCGTGTCCTACCAAGATCACCTGCACTTTTACACTAGCTTTTCATCGAAATATCCGCAAGTTTTTCCATTCCGAAGACAGATTACAGTCAAAAGACGAGAACTTGTAGGAATTTATAACGATGGGAAAGGAGAAGAGCTCGAGGAAACAGAAACAGACCTTCTCTCCATCGAGAAGCTTTTCAAGAAAATCTGTCAATGGCTTCACATATTGAGACAGGCTGGTGATCCCATTGACGTCACACGAGTTGATACCACAACCAGCTAAATCAATGGCTGTAACTTTGAAACAGTCTTCTTCGAGAAGAGCAATAGTCTTGTACCAACACCAAGCACCAAAGCCTCCGCCATGGATGAGGACGAGATGGTTTGTTTCCAAGTCACCGAGATTTAAACCCTGCCCAATGACAGCAAAAGAGTTAAAAAAAAAAAACATTACAAACAGTAAGATGAAAAAAATGAAAAGAACCTGAAACGAAAAATGATATAAAACATCTCTGGATATGAACAGACAACGATGAGTTATGAATTTCTTCTGGAAGCAGCCTGAATAGAAGAGACAAAGACAGCACATTAAGAGATCGACAAAAAACGAGGTCAGGTCACGAGTTCGAAACTCGATCGAACAAATTGATCAAACGAAAACTCTCAATGTCAAGATCATTTTGGGCTTTCAGCATTAAATTCTACTTCTCATCTCAATCACTAGTGTCCCAAACATTGAAGGAAAAACTGGATTGGTAATCATAAAAGATACAGATTCAACACCAACCGCTTGTGCTATGCCATAAATCAGATGGATAATAACAACTGCATCCCTCGAATCTAAACTTGATAATCCCTCTCAGAAATACAGCGATACCCGGCAATCATTTATCAATCTTATCACCCATGTTATTGAAACTGGACCAACAAAACAAGCTCTTTTCAACCATATCGGGGTATAGTCCAAGATATCATCACATCTTCACCGGATACAATGAGAGTAAACGCTACATTGTAGCCCAAAGTCGAAATCTTTCATTGTACTAGACAATCTAAACCCAATTTCAGAGACCTTGTATCCATTTTACTCGTGTCGGCCCTGATTCGTGTTCGGATTCTGCTGGAATACTCTGGGGGGCATTCTTGAAGAGAATTCAAGTACCATTAGGTTTAAATTCCAGCTAAGACACGACTTGAATTGCCTCTGAAACAAAGCTCGTCCAATGCTACTTTAGGAGCTCAAGTTCAAGATCAAGAAAACCGATCGACAAGAAATTCAGAAATGCTATCCCTTACTAACTAAAACATGAGTTCTTCTACCCAAACACAATCAATTTCACCAACATATTTTCATAAAAGATGATATCTTTGAAGATTAGAATCAATAGCAGAGAACCTGGTTAACAAGCTGGTGAGGTTGCAACAAAGGATCCGTTGAAGACCTGGACCTCGAACTGGAGCTCCGAGGCAATTGGCTCTTCTTTGAACCTGAAGCCGGGTACCGAAGCGACGTCGACCGATCAAACGGCAGCGAACCGCCGCCGTTCTGCTGCTGCTGCTGTCGGAACAAAATCGCAGCAGCAGCCAAAGCCTGTTCCTGAATCACAGCGTCATCAAACTTCTCCTTCCTCGACGACGACGATCTGACCCGGTTCCATCGGTTAACAGAACCCGACCCGGCTCCTGCTTGCGGGTTCGTGAGCCTCTTCGTGATGGGTCGACGCTTCTTCACGGGCTTTGGCGGCGCAAAGAGAGAACAGAGATTACCCATTGTTGGAACATGAAGAGGAACACGGGTAGGGATTTGTGGGGATCGAATGCAGTTGCGGAGAGGTTAAGAGAGAGAAAAAGGTTTGATCTTTAGAGAGAGAAAAGGGAGAGAAAGAGAGAGGTGGGGTTCAGGTGAAAGTGGTGCTGAGAAGGTGGGGGGGAGGCGCAGAAGCTGGCAACTTTTCAATGGCGTTCTCTGAAGCGTGTGCAGCCGTGAAGGGACCAGCAAAAAGGCAACAGAGAAATTCAAACATTTTTTTTTTCATTTTCAAGAACGTTCCTTTATTTTTTTTTCTACCAAAATGTTCTTCGTTTTTTTTCCCTGTTCAATACAATTCAATGTTTGCATTTTTAAATTCGTTTTTATAGCAACTTTGTAGATTATTACATCCAATTTCGAAATTCCTGTAGTATAACTTTGTAGATAATAACACTATTGTTGTTAGTGAATTTTTAACTGAATATTTATAAGTAAAAAATATTTATGTTAACGATTTATTTATTTTTACTTTTTTTTTATCCCTTTTTACGGCTTTCACTTTCGTTTTGACCATATGACACGCATACGCATAGCCAGCCACCATCCATAAGTTTCTTCAAATGATAATTGCTTGACATTAAAAAAATCAATTATCAGAATTATCTTTGATTTTTCCATATTTTCACGAGATTTCCTAAAATGATAATTATATGTATGGATCCTTAAAAATTCTAAATTTAGATATCTAATCATAACGAGATTGAAATTTAATACCGAAATCGAAAATAAATTTCTCGTATTGAAAAAAAATCTAGCTTTACCCATAAATAAGTAACTGTTTTTGTATGCAACTTTCTCGTGGACATCCACTCACAAATATAAGAGCACTCGCTAAATCAAAATCCAAATCATAACTCAAAAGCTATATATAAAATTTGTTTGGACCACATATAGAGTATTCAGATCCCGAGAACGAAGTATAAATATATATACACACACACACATATATATATGGTATAAAAGCTATCAATATCATCATCACTATAGCATGCGAGATCTTTTGGCAACGTATAATCATCATAATATGATAAGTAAATCCTTTATTATTTTTAAATTTTAAAAGGATTTTTTTACTGTCTAAGATAGTTCCTTGGCTTCATGGTTTCTTGGCCATTCCTTCCATTTTTCTCTTATTCCCCGAGTTAAGTGTTTTCATTGGTTTTCAGCAAATATTTGGTTTGAGATTTTTTTTTTAAATTTTTTAATTAATATTCAAAAACAGAGTCCGCCTTCATTTTAATGAGAATAAAAAGTTATATTTCAATTATTATTTATTTATTTTTTTGTAACTTGGGATATGTTATCAAAACGAAAAATCTATTCTTGTTTAGATGGTATCGTGTCTGATAGATTGAGTCCCGACTCGACCCGACCCGGTCCGAATGACGTGGCAATATTTCTATTGGGCCCCAAGATGTGGTTCCGACCCAGGAAGCCGAAACAGCAAGTATTCCGAGGATGGCATCTTGTTGGGGGAAATACCCAAACGGCACGCCTTCTGTCGTTTCGTCCTCTCTCGGATCAGATATTTCAAGCTTTCAACCTTCTACTCTCTGTCTTCTCCTCCATCCCTTACTCCGACGACGACCCGACGACGACGACTTTTCTCTCCGGCACCAGAACACGAACACAGGTCAAATCTTCGTCGTTCTGTCCGATTTTTTTGTTAAATCTCGATTCATGTGTAGTTTCTTTGGATTCTTATGGATTCCATTTCTGTTTTGTCTTTATGATTGTAATGTTGAGTCCTACCTAACCCGTGTTCTTAATTTTGGGCGCCTATTTTGTGGATTGTTTCGCACCGTTATGTAATATTGTTTATGCGCGCGCGCGTGTGTATTGTATATGCATACAAGCACTTCTGTATCGGTCGATATGTATCTTGCTCGTATGTATGTGTTTGTATACGCATTCGAACATTCATGTATCTTTTTTTTCCTCACGGTGATGTTCCTTTTGCAGAAATGGAAGAAATAGCAAGTGGATTTGGGTGTTGCAACTGAAGCAGCTTAAACATCTGAATTGTAAGTATATTGTGTCATCTGCATTCTTAGGAGCACATAAACGAAGGAAGTGTTGAAATTCTAGATGCTCTGCTCAATGTAGGTTTGAAATTTTCGGGAAGGCGGCGGCTTTAGCATGGAAATAGTTGAACATTCTACACAGGAAGAACCCAAGTCTAAGAAATCGAAGATATTCCAGGAAGAAGTGAAACAAGGGCCGTCCTCATTAATGAAAGGAACTGTGGTTGATGTTAACCGAGGAAATGGAGAAGTTCCCCTTGCACAGGATGAGAGGAGGAGTGATAATGAAGCTTGTTCGTTAGCTGGAGAAGGAGGTGAAGATGTTTCTGTACAGCCTGACGATGCAAAAGTAAAAGAAGTCAATGACTCACATTCACTGGCCAAAGTTTCTTCCGCTTCCTTAGCAGGGAAGAAGCTCCTTGTTCTTGATCTGAATGGATTGCTAGCAGATATTGTATCTTCTCCTTCCAAAGATTATGCGTCAGACATAACAATAGGAAGAAAAGCAAGTAAGATCCTAGGAGTAGTGTTCTTTACCACTCACTATCTCTTACTGTTTGAATGTTACCAATCTGCTATTTTTTGTTTCAGTTTTTAAGAGACCCTTTTGTGATGATTTTCTGAAGTTTTGCTTTGAGAAGTTCCAAGTTGGTATCTGGTCCTCAAGAACTCAGTAAGCGTCTAACCAAGGCCCTTTGCTTTCCGTATTTTGTGTCGCAATTTGGTCCCTTCTGTATTGATGTAAGTAGTTGACCCGCTCTGTTTTCCTTTCTAATGTAGGAGAAACGTAGAGAGAATCACTGATTATTTGCTTGGAGATATGAAGAGTAGATTGTTGTTTTGTTGGGTAAGTGTGTCTTCTTGCCCGGTCCTCCCCTGTTTCCCTTGGCCTGTTGATGTTCATGATCACAAATCAGAAATCAGATTTCTGTTCTTGCTGTTTGCTCGTACTTGGCTTCATGACTTTCCTACAAATGTTTGCATGAAAGATTCATAAGGAAATAGAAAGCTTATGCTTGTGTATTATGGACATTTCAAGAAAATTTTCCGAAGTGCAAATTCTTTAATATGTCTTGTCAAATTTCTTGCAGGATATGTCTCAATGTGCGAAATCAAGAGTTGGTTCCCTTGAAAACAGGTTCAAATATGTGGTGTTTAAGGAGTTAAAACGACTTTGGGAGAAACAGGACCCTGATCTTCCCTGGAAGCAGGGTGCTTATAACGAAACCAACACTATCTTGATAGACGATTCTCCTTATAAAGCCTTGCTTAACCCCGTAAGCTATCGCATATATTCCATTTCCTTTCCTTTATATCGATTTTACATTCTCTTTGTTCATTAGGATTTACTTTTTAGTTAATTTTCGATCTCACAGCTGCATACAGCAATATTCCCGCATTCATTCGACTATCACAACAAAACCGACACCTCCTTAGGTAAAAAAAGTCTTTTACCTTAACTCTTTATCTGTTTGATTCATTTTCCCCCTAGAATCTTAAGCGTACCTTTCATTTGTTCATTTCATTTCACCTTTCCATCCCAACAAGGGGTGCAAGTTTTTACACTACGAAATTTCAGATTCTTGAAGCTGATTTAGTGGCTTGGTCTTAGGATCATGACAACAACTTTGGAAGAGACTGGTGATTGGTGTACCAGAGAACACCAATTCAGTAACCAGTTTCCATAAGAACATAAAAAAATATGGTTTTTTGGATATCATACTCTTCCAAGTCAATTTTTTTCTTAACAGTGTCACCCCCCAAGTCCGTCACTTGCATGTATACCTTGCATGCTACAGACGTTGCCTAATTCATGTGGTGACAGTGAAATCACGTGCCTTCTTCTTTGTGGCAAAAAATTGAAGAAATTATCTTGTGATGATGATTGCGAGTGGTTTCGTTGAAATTCAGGTGAAGGTGGAGATCTGAGGCTATATCTGGAAAGGTTGGCGGAAGCCGATAACGTTCAAGAATTCATCAAGGAACATCCTTTCGGGCAAGAACCGATAACCGAAACAAGTGGATCTTGGGAGTTCTACCGCCAGATTATTGGTACGCTCCATTGGTGATTTCTCTAAACCTCGTGGTTTGGGTGTTGGCTGATTTCTTAGAAGTTCTACGAGCTTTTTAGAGACTAAGCTGACACTTCCTTCTTGGTTGGAAGAACAAGGGGAGGTAGGGATAGGTTAAGGAAAGGAAGGTGGAGAAACGGCGTGGTTTTCTTGTGTCCTTGTTATAGATGGCCTGATGTTTCATTGTGGAAGTTGAAAACAATCTGTTGTTTCTTGTGGTAATTGTAGCTTCTTCTCTACGCTCTTTTTTTCCCCTTATAATTATGAATTACTTGCAGACGAACAGTCACCGTATACCAATATTATACATATAGGCACGCACAATGGGCTTCTATACGTACGAACCTTTTGTATAATATATATGTACGTATGTATGTATTGAAATCTACGAAATGATGTCCAGATCCAACATTTTGGGAGTATGCGCAATCACCGGATAGGTATTAGGTGCCTTACGCAACAGTCCGGCGCGACCCGGATGACGTGACCCCATAACTTTGGACCTTTTGTCCGGCCCAGATGGTCAAAAATGGCAAATCACCTGCCGTTTCTCTGTTCCCATTCTCTCCCAAAACTTCTTTGTACAAAAACGGCACGTTGTCTGCCGTTTCATCTGGCTCTTGCGGATCGTTTCAACATTTAAGGTTCTTCTCCCCTAATCAATCTCTCTGACGATGACTTTGACGGAGGTCAACTCTTGAATTTCTCCATCCTTGTTTTTTTTTCCTTTCTAAATTTGATTCATCGGCGATTGTTTTCTGGTTTTGTTCGGTTTTATATGGATTCGATTTGTAATTTTCTTCTATGATTGTAATGTTTGAATTTTTCCTAATGTCCGTGTTCTTGATTTCTCTTCTCATGTAAGATATTTTTGGCGGATTCCTCTCGGCGTTCAGTGTTTCTCTTTGATTAATCTTTTTGAAATATCGATTTGTATGCGACTGTGTGTGTGTATATGTATGACCAGTAGTTGCGTTCCCCTATACGTGAGTGCGTACACGCCATACGTATCTATCTGTATGTATCTTTATCTAACCTTGTTTGTATGCGTGTGTCTGTGTGTACATCTATGAACAGTATTGTTTCTGTTGATGATGTTCTTTTGGCAGAACCGAAAGGAATAGCAAGTCCTGGGAAAGAGGAGAAGATGATCGATAACGAAGTAAAAGACGCTCCGACCTTTGTAATGCAAGAGACTGAATTTGACGTTGATCGAGGAAACGGGCAGGCTCCTATGTTAGGTACAGAACTAAAGAAACACATTTGTGATGCATTGGATGGTAGGAGCAGCAATGGAGAAGCTTGTTCATTGGATACAGAACAAGGTATATATAGATGTTTCCACTCTCAGTTCGTTCATTCCAGTGAGTTGCAAGTAAAGGAAATTCCCTTTTTGGGATCAAAAATTGCAAAGAGAACAAGGGCATTTCTGCTGTATTTGGGGCTGCAGATTTAGCATTAGCCAGTGAAGATCCAAGGGAGTTGAAAGAGGAGAAAGATGCATCGGCGACAAGTTCCTCATCTTCTTCCTCGGGAAAGAAACTTCTTATTCTTGATCTGAATGGTTTGCTTGCAGATATTGTATCTTCTCCTCCCAAAGGATATACACCAGATCTTAACATTGGAACAAAAGCAAGTAAGATCCACCAAGTCATGTTCCTTATTACTAGCCTGTTATTGTTTCCGAATGTAAACTAATATGCTATTTTATGTTTCAGTTTTTAAAAGACCCTTTTGTGAAGATTTTCTAAAGTTTTGCTTGGAGAAGTTCGAAGTCGGTATCTGGTCAGGGCGAAGCAAGTAAGTTTCCAACCAGAACCCTTTATTTCACAGAAATCAGATACCGGTATTATGTATGCTGGTGTAAATTTGTTTTCCTTTTTAAATGGAAGGGGTAAAGTAGAGAAAATCACTGAGTTCTTGTTTGGAGATATGAAGAGTAGACTGTTGTTTTGTTGGGTAAGTGCTTCTTCTTGCCTTGTCCTCTCTCGTGTTTTGCTTGGTCTATACATATATATTCATAATCATAATATCACTTTTCTGGTTTAGGGTTTAGAGGTTTAGGTCTACGGTTTAGGGTTTAGAGTTAAAAGTTTGGCTTTGTAAGAAAATATTCATCCCAAAGATTTAGATTTCCAAGTCCTGCCTTTTTATATCTTGTGGATACTTAAAGATACGATGCCTGCCTCTACTGTGAATTCTGTAACATTTTTCCTGCAGGACATATCTCATTGTGCTAAAATAATATATGGTTCTCTCGGGAGAAAGGACAAATACGTAGCTTTTAAGGAGCTAAAACGACTGTGGGAGAATTATGACCCGGATTTACCATGGAAGAAGGGTGATTTTAGCGAAACCAACACGGTTTTGTTAGACGATTCTCCGTTTAAAGCGCTGCTTAACCCAGTAAGCTTGTATATTGTGTGTATTATAGTTGCTTTACACCAGTTTATGCAATACCTTGATTCATTGGGAATTCACCTTTGAAATGTATTTTCCATCTCACAGCCATATACAGCAGTATTCCCTCTTTCTTATGACTATAACGACGAAACCGACAACTCCTTAGGTAAAATTCTTTCCCTGTGTTTTCTGCTCCTGTTGAGGCTTGAAGTTCCTTTCACTTGTTCGTCTCATCAGCTTTCTCTTCCAAACTGTGGTTGTGAGTTTGATGGTATTAACTCATTACTAACTGGATGGACCCAATGCCAGATTCTTGAAGATGGTTTTCCGGTTATGGTAACGATTTTGAAAGAAAGAAATGCTATTTTTGGTTCGGTGCACTTCCATGTCAAATTCATTTTGATGTAGGCATTCCGATCTTTTTGTCAAGGATATATATCATGTCTACCAAGTACCAACCTTGTGTAACTACACCCAAAACATTTCTGGTCGTGGTGATCGTATTTGCGGGTTCATTGAGATTCAGGTGAAGGTGGTGGTCTGAGGATATACCTGGAAAAGTTGGCAGAAGCAGATAACGTTCAAGAATTCATCAAGAACCATCCTTTCGGACAAGAGCCTATGTCCGAAGCAAGTGAATCTTGGGAGTTCTACAGCAGCATCATTGGTAGGCCAAGCCACGTTTTCTCCATTTCTCAGTCGCTCTCGGTTTTCTTATTGTTTTCACATTCAGGTCTTGATTTTCTTTTTTTTACCTCAGGAAATAGAAGATCATGACAGAACAAAGGGTATGTTAATGTCACATATGGAATGATCAGGTACGCTTTCAAGATATGAAGGGGTAGAGAAACGGCGTGATTTTTGCGTCTTCTTGTTATAGACGACTTGGTGTTTCGTTGTAAAAGTTAAGCTATGCATTAGTTTCAGACTCTCAAACCAAAAAAAAAATAATTGGAAAGATTATGAAAATAAAAGAGAAAATCGCATATAAATACCTAAATTTTTACAAAAATTCTAAATAAATACTTGAACTATAAAATTTTCATATAAATATATGAACTTTTCTAAAATCCTATATAATACCTATACTTTTGAAAAACGCTCAAATAAATCCAAAATACGTTAATATTATTACCTATTTTTATTTGAAAAATATCTAAAATTTGTATTTATTTGGAAATTTTTTTTAAAGTCTAAGTATTTATATAGGATTTTTAAAAGTTCAGTTATTTATATGGAAGTTTTATAGTTCAGTTATTTATATGAGATTTTTGTAAAAGTTCAAGTATTTATATGTTATTTTTTTTAAATGGACACATTTTGTCCATTTCAGATATTTATATGAAATGGACCCATTTTTTTGGCTTAATGTGTTTGTGCATTAATGCAAAAGACAACGACTGTCCTGCCAGCTATTTACATCGTACGTTGCTCGTACGTTGTGTCTAGTGATCGACCCAGCTTGTCAACACTAACGGATACAAAAGGAATCTTTCTCCGATTTTACTTGGAAAAAAATAAATATTTTGTATCCAATTTAAGTTCCTATATTTATCCCCCATGTTGGTGGAGAATCGAATACAGATTGAAGTTGTAAGTTGTGACTGATGGCAATAAACGTGATCGAGATAGCCCGAGTCGGCCCGGCAACGGACTCGGATTCGTTCCGTGACTCGGCCGACTGGCGCACTCTCCCTCTCACGTTCTTCGATCTAGGGTGGATAAGAGCTCATCCCAACAAACGAATCATCTTCTACAGACCCCCCAACTCAACTCGCGAGTCCTTCGACTCCGTCATCCTCCCGAAGCTCAGGCTCTCCCTCTCCGTCGTCCTCCGCCACTACCTTCCCCTGGCCGGCCGGATCCTGTGGGGTCCACATGATCCGAAGCCAAGCATCATCATGCGCGAGAACGATGCCGTTCCGCTGACTATTGCCCAGATCGACGCCGATTTCTGTCTCCTCTCCGGCAACGGACAACTTCCGGCGGCTGAGTTTCACCACCTGGTTCCCGAGTTAACGGTTTCTGACGACTCAGCTTCCGTACTTTCCCTTCAAATCACGTTGTTCCCAAGCCAAGGGTTCTCCATCGGCATCACGGCTCACCATGCCGTTCTAGACGGAAGAACGACAAGCGCGTTTATCAAATCGTGGGCTCACGTCTGCAGACAATTTCAAGAACACGAAAACAATGGCTTCGCTTCGCTGCCGGACGATCTAACTCCGAGTTTCGATCGCACGGTCATCAATGGCAGGACTGATATCGAAGCAAAGATTTTGAAACGGTTGTCGTCCCTCGTAAAGGACGAAGCCGAAACACGAAGCCTGAAGCTAATGCCGGCAAGAGAAATCGGCGGCGACATGGTCCGTGTCACGCTCGAGCTCACTCGGGAGAACATAGAGAAACTCCGGGAGCGAGTCAAGAACGAGTCGCTATCCGCGTCCTCGGCTCACGGACTTCACTTGTCGACGTTCGTTGTCGCGTACGCTTACGTATGGACGTGCATGGTGAAGGCGCGTGGAGGCGACGCGCACAGACCGGTCTCCTTCATGTTCCCAGCCGATTTCCGACACCGGTTGGATCCACCGTTGCCGGCGACGTACTTCGGCAACTGCGTGTCCGCAGCCAGCTGCCACGACCAAACCGCAGGGGCATTTATGGAAGAGAGAGGTTTTGTCACGGCGGTCAAAGTTCTGAGCGATTTGGTCAACGGTTTGGGTCAACAAACAGTAGAGGCGAGCGAGGAAGAGTTCACAAAGGCTATGAAGGCGGTCAAGTCGGGTGCACAATTCGGGTCGGTTGCCGGGTCGACCCGGTTAGGGTATTACGGGGCGGATTTCGGATGGGGCAAACCGGTTAAGACGGTGGTTGTGTCCATTGACTGGACCGGAGCGATCTCAATGTCCGAGAGGAGGGATGAGTCCGGTGGGGTGGAGATTGGGTTATGCCTGAAGAATACCGAAATGGATATTTTTGTTTCTTTGTTTAATAATGGATTGACATAAAATTGGTCAATCCAAATATTATTATTGTGATCCAAAATATTAATTCTGCTTTCGGTCAAATAAATATGGTTATTGTATTACAAGTGGGTCAATGCTCCATCTTTCGTTAATTTCTATATTTTCGACGTTCTCCTTTTTTTTAAAAATATATATTGATATATTCAGTTTTTTTTAAATGTGATAATTTATTTGAAAGAAAACAGGGTATAACAATGCCTCATGAATAAAGAGATTACGCATTTGGTTCCGTACTTTAGTATTTATTCATTATATACCAAAAATAAATTCAATGTTTAATCATAATCAAAAATCAATTTTAGTAATAAAAGATGCATTGAGTGTTCTTTTGGTTATTTGATATAATTAAATATTTAATTTGATATTATAATATAAATTTAATATTTTTTAATCCATCCAATTTTTTTCGGTGTGATTCAAATGTCCGTTTTATTGTCATTTTATTCGAAAAGATTATTGGATTGTGCTTTTTTGTCGGGCGACTGCTTTACACATTCTATTTATATACTTTACTTTCATCTCACACTTCCATTGCATATATTATCATATTTCTTTTTCTTCCCTTTGAGCTCACTTTATGAATATATATTATCCTAAAATTCGTAAAAAAAATATTTAAAAATCATTCATAAACAATATTAAGATATAGTTAATAATATTAATAATGTCGTTAATTTCAATCGGCTTCATTGGTTTAAATTAAAATTTTTAAAGTTAACAATTAACAACAGTGACCAAAAAAAAATTAACCAAAAAAAAAAACAGTGACAAAAAAAAGAAGAAAAACCCTTGGGAGAACTCGGAGCGACAGTTTTCGAGTTCACTGGTTGCTGTCACTCGCCATCGCTCTCTCTCTCCATCTTCATTTGATCGAATCTCTTCCATTTCCGAACCTCGATCTCCTCATCCCAGGTGCGTTCTTCTTCGTCTTCGTCATTCTTCTGCCGTATGATCGTCGCTGATCGAATTCTCCTGTAGATGATGATCTAATGCTTCTAAGTTCTAATAAAACATAGCCTTTTTTGTCTCGACCTGTCGGAGGTATGTAATGCCGCTCTCAGATTCCGTAAGAATGCAATGTTTTGTGGGTTGTATGAGTTACCATCGATTTCGGCCAAATGGAGCTCTCCAATTCATCAAATTTCTCGATTGTTGTTTTTGGGGGAGATTCTATAGGGTTTCTGCTATGAAAAATTCCTGGTTTTCGAGGGTTGTTTCTGTTTCATGTACGAGGTGTGGGTTTTGGTTATTTGGTTTCGCTGTCTTTCTGTTCTTATTCAGCATGGATTTTGGCGATCTATGGCATTGTCTGGTTTCTTCTTCATCCCTTTATGATCCTTTTGTCCTCTTCGAGAAAACCAGTAAAAGTGTGTTGTATTATCAGCTATCATTGTCTACTTGAATGTCTTCTAACTGTGGTTTTGGGACTTAACATGCCATGGTAACTAGGATGTGAAGTTGATGGTTGTAACATGTATCTCATCCAGAATTGAAATTGATCCACTATAGACCCTATTGGGGTTACAGACCATGTGAGGAAGGATCTTCTTGTTCATACCTGATGTGATTTGGATTAGAAAACTTGAGCTGTAAGAACTGTTTTCTCCATAGTCTACAGTTAATATTGCTAAGAATTTCATACAAGTTGTTTGGCATCATTCATGCGGTCGAGATTTTTTCCTAGATTTTAGAACAGCTGTGCTATTTCTGAAAGCTTTTCTTACATTCTCTTTGCCTTACTTTCTCTTTTGTACACAACTGGAATTAAAAAGTTCACCCATTTAAAAAAATTGTTTTTTTTTGTGTTCTTGCAGAATGTCCTTGCAAAGTGCAAATCCCCAAGCAGCTCCTACTCCACAAATGGTTGCAAATGCCTTTGTTGAGCAGTACTATCACATCCTTCACCATTCTCCTGAGCTTGTATACAGGTTTTATCAGGATTCAAGCGTCTTAAGCAGGCCTAATCATGATGGTGCGATGTCATCTGTAACCACGATGCAAGTAAGTTTCATGAAGATGCAGATTCCCTGCCAGTGATTCTGAGTTTTTCTTCAAACTTAATTCTTCTATATTTCCTTATACAACACTTTATAATTTTCAATGATAGTTATATGGCACTATATCGTGCAGGCAAACTAGCCAAATATCCTTTCTATCAGTTACAAGGTTATCCTATGATTCCTATCTCTCTGGAATTGATTCAATAATTTTTCCGGATACCATTAGTGTTCGTTCTGTTATGTGCTTATGGTATAGAGTCTGTGATAAGACTTCTATCCATATCTGTGGAATCCTTCGTTCGTTTTCGAGTTCCATGTACATGGGATTGTGGTGTTGGCCTTTGTGTCCAATATATGCTAGTATGAGTAATCTGGAAACCTGATAGTTATAGGCAATTATTACAATATCATTGACCTGCCATGTACACTCGCGTGGCTTTTACGGAGAGAGCGGAAAGATTCACTGTAACTTGGTTTTGGATCTATACGATTTCTAAGCTGTTTTCTTTCTGATCAGGGCATCAATGAGAAAATCCTTTCCATGGATTTCACGAGCTACAAAGCAGAGATTAAAACTGCAGATGCTCAGAATTCGTATAAAGATGGAGTGACAGTGCTTGTTACTGGTTGCTTGACTGGCAAGGATAATCTGCAAAGGAAATTTGCGCAGTCATTTTTTCTCGCACCACAAGACGTTGGCTACTTTGTTTTGAATGACGTGTTCAGGTATCTAGATGATGATGAACCATCAGACAAGTATCCTATTGAGAGCATCAACAATGCTAACCAAGTCTCTCCAGTTCCGGAACCTGGTAACTTTTATTCTAAGCCATATATAATTCAGTTTCTCACTCCAAAGTTATGGGTTTATTTTATGAACTCAGTTTCCTGACACATTTTCTTGTGATTTTCAACTAGTTACACGTCCTGATCCCAAACCTTTGGAATCAGACAGAGTGATACCTGTGGCAGAAGATAACAATGCCAAGGCTAATGCTGTAGCAGTTCGTGAAGTGCAAATAGCTGATGGAAAAGAAAATAAAAAGGAGCCTCAAAACAGCATAGATGAATCAGATTCGTCTTTGGTGAAGGAAGATGCTCCAAAGAAATCTTATGCATCAATTGTAAGTGACACAGAGACGTCGTTTAATGATTGATATCTGAAAGTTCAGTTGATTATTGTTTTTTTACCATTCACTTATGTAGGTGAAAGTCGCCAAAGGTAGTGAAATGCCAACGAAAATTGACATGCCTACAAACACCAGCAAAGCCAGCACAAAAAAAGCTGAGAACGAGCCAGTTGGGTCTTCTGTCCATTCTCCTGCTCCAGAAGGATCAACCCAGGAAAGTGTTGTTAGCCCTGAAACGGGCGAAGCTGATGGAGAAGGTAAAACTTTTCTTGGATTTACTTTAAATTGACTATATTTCGGATTAGAGGCATTGATAATTCTAGCTCTGGTTTACTGTACTCAGTTGTACATTAGCTTGAACAACAACCATCCTATATGAAACAGCTGAGGGCTACTCCATATACATTCGGAACTTGCCCTTCAATACAACCGTTTCACAGCTCGACGCAGAGTTTAAGAAGTTTGGCCCGATCAAGAAAGATGGCATCCAAGTCAGAAACAACAAGGTTTATCTAAATTCTAGCTAATCCTACTCAAACAGATCCTATCTTTTCTTATTTATCTGCCACATTTTTTTTTTGTTTTTTTCTGGTTACTAACCCTATCTGTTACTTCTCTCTCAGCAACAAGGCTACTGCTTCGGTTTTGTTGAATTCCTGTCCCAGAGTTCAATGAATGATGCCATTCAGGTATGTTTTCCTCAGCTATTTCTGTCAAGATTTACCCTGCAATCCCCACCAACCGCACCACACAAATCTCTGAGCTTTCTTCTGATTTTCTCCCCAACTTGGATTATAGATAACAATGGTAAAGCCTGTCCAAGCATAGCTGAGTGAGTCATCGTCATTCGATCTTTGGTATGTCAGTTCTTATGAGAACTGAGAAATATGTTGAATTCTTTGGTATTTCAGGCATCACCCATAAATATTTTAGGCCGCAATGCAGTGATTGAAGCCAAGAGGACTGCAGCAAGAGGTGAGTCCCAACATTCACATTTGGCTGTAACTTCACTAATGGCAATACCTTAGATGGGTATTAACAATTCCAAATCATGGGTATGTTTGCTTTTTGTATAGGCGACGGTGAAAGAGGCGGATACTCTTTTCCGAGGGGAGGATATAGGAGCGACAGCTTCCGAGGTCGAGGGAGCCACAGAGGCGGCCGTGGTTACGGATATGGGAGCTGGGGAAGCGACCCCTGTGGACGAGGTAGAGGCTCCTTCAGAGGAGGGAGAGGAAGAATCCCAAGCGGACCAAGACAGAACGTCGGCTGAAACAAAGTAGGTGTCTTTTTCTCGGTTTGATCGGTAAATTAGGCATTCAGAGCTATCTAACCTTTATCATGTAGATTAGGGTTTTTGTATTTACTTGAAGGGCACGTTATCTTCTTGCTTTTTAGGGCTTGTTTCTCCCTTGCTCTTTGTTTTTGTTGGGTTAGTAGCGATTCGGTCCAAGTGCCAATGTTGGACTTGCACTTCGTAGGTCCAAGATTAATTCAAATCGACCATTATATATCCTTTTTAAATGTCTTAGCAAAATAACATAATTAATTGAATTAAAGCACGAATTGTGAGAATGCGAGAAATGTTATAAAATTTTATGTTTTTTTTTTATAATTAGTTTGGACCGTTAAGTCGAGGATAAACAATGGGAGATGGAAACTTTTGAGATTTTCATTGCCGTCTCATGTTGAAAATGTTGCTTCTTTGGACACTCTTTAGATATTTCATAATTCATTATGCATATTATAAAAGTAGCAAAATTCTATTGGTCAAGTTCTCGGCTTACCATACAAATAAAGAATATATATGGTGATTGGTGAATATATTATTTATATAACGTTCAACTTGTCCACAAACCATATATATATATATATATATATATATATATATATATATGTAATTTAGAATGATATCTTTTTTATTTTCAGAAATCCCCTATCTAATTTCTATCGCTGTTCGATTTCATGGCGATTTTTTTTTGCCCTCTTAGCTGTTGCAGTGCAACCAGAAAAAGACACGTGTGCTCCTTGTCGGATAGGAACACGTGTCGGAGAACGAGATGAATGACGTGTCTGATAGGTAGAAGGAAAAAAAGAAAAAAGAAAAAGTGAAGCTGCAAGTTGGGATTTTTTTGGGGGGGTGTGGGCTCCACCATCGATCTCTTGTCGATCTTTTGCGTGTCCCCCGGAGATTCTCCTCCACCGTAATTTCATACGTATCGTCACGTGCTCTGTTTTCTTTTTTTCTTCCTTTATTTTTTTTTTCAATTTCAATGATTACTTGAGTTCTTAGAATTCAATGAGATTAGTTTAAATAGTTTAGAAAATTAAGTATATAACAAAATAAATTTATGATAAGATTCGAATATATAATAAAAAAATTCGAAACATTTTTTGTTAATTGGTAAAACTAATGTGAATTTTTTTTTTGAGATTTCCTTTTCATTTAAAAAAAAGCTGAACTGTTTACGAAAGTATTGACTCATATAAGATTCATATATCCATAAAATGTTTTTGTAACAACCAACTGGTCATTGAAAAAGTTTAATTATTTTGACAAATAACAGAAAAAAAGGTCGAATTGTTTTCTGAAATAGCGAAAGGAGAAAAATCGACGTAGAACAACCCCCCAGCACGAAACACTATCCCATGACCGCCACGTGTCGCTCTCTCTCTACCCGCGAAATTCCCAAAACCGGAGAGAAAGGAAGGAATCAGAGATAGAGAGACACGTGGCGCGACCTGGATAATGTAACGGCGTTAGATTACAGCGACACGTGGTGTCCTGACAGTGCGACATAACAAGACAACCAGACAATACATGACACGTGTACGGTTTCGAGTAGAGTCTCTTTTTCCTGTTTTTAGTTTTTTTTTTTAAATGTTGACGACCACGTGGGTGCTCTATCCCTGAGCAGAGTCTTCCATGCTTCCACGTGGCGCTTATGCACGTCAAAGGGTATTTTCGGTATTTTGCTTCTCGCAAATAGGCATACAGCTTTGATTGTTTTCTCACTTTTTCTCCTGGTTTGGTCTTTTTCTTCATTCTCTCTCGTTCTTGTGTGATTTGTCCGAGAAAATTTCGGTGAATGTTGAATTCAGGGAGGAAAATTTGCGTAGTAAACTTGAATTTTCAGGGTTTGCATTCTCCTTTCGCTCTCTGCGAACCGAAGAATGGAATCTCTTAGAGATTGATTCTTTCTCGTAAGATTCTTCTTGGGATTTGAATGCTTTTGGCATCCAGAATTTCTTCTCCCTTTGAGTATCTCTAGATTTGTTCGAAAAATTCACACTTTTTTCTCCCGATTTTTTTTTTGCCCTATTCTTACCCAGTTGAAGAAATAATGTCGGAAGCTGAAAACAGAGGAAACGGAGAGACCCGACGGAGAATCTCCGGACAACAAGTCTCCAGTCTCCCGAGAGATCTGTTGCAGAGGTTCATGTCTTCCAAAGACCATTGTTACCCTCCGTACCAGAACCGTTCCCACACGACCAACGGTGTAGAAGATGATGATGATGATGAAGAAGATGTAGAGCTAAGCTTAGGGTTGTCTCTGAACGGCCGATTCGGCGTAGACCCACTTGCCAAGTCGAAGCTCACGCGCTCGTCTTCGATACCGGAATTCATCATCACCAGCAGCGTCAAATCGAAAACCTCGGATTCGGACAGGGAGAGTTCGTCTCCTGCCCATGTGGGTGCGTCTGCGACGATCATGAGGACGTGTTCGTTGCCGACGGAGACGGAGGAAGAGTGGAGGAAGAGGAAGGAGTTGCAGAGCTTGAGGAGATTGGAGGCGAAGAGGAAGAGGTCGGAGAAGCAGAGAACCCAAAGGGGACTTAGGGAAAAGCGTAAATCTGTAGCGGAAGAGAAGGATCTAGAAGATAGAAGAGAAGAAGGTTCTATTGGGTCTTCTGGAAGTGGTGCCTCTTGTCTGTCTGAACTCGACAGCCACCATACTCCTGTTCAAGGTACCTCCTCACATTTGTCCCTCTCTTCCTTGCCATTTTGTTCATCAAAGTTTGGATTTTTGGGCACTCTGTGCTTCCAATGCAAGACGAGCTCCTAACATTAACACAATCTATCTGGATTTCGATTCTCGTCTTTGGTTGTTCTGAATCGTGCAATGATGTGAACATGCCGGATGGTTTGCTGAATTTGGGTATGAGAACGATTCTTGTTCAAGTTTCTAGGGCTAATTATCGGTTCGAGTCCGGTCATTTGGATTGGGTTTTGGTGAAATCTTGTCTGTGTTTGTGTGATGATCTGTGATTCTGGTTCAGGGTTTTGTATGAGCCTGCAACCGCTTAAGATCAAAAGCTCGAATCTTCCTCTTTTTTGATGATTTAGGGTTGTTTCGGCTTTTGTTCGGGGCTTGAAAATTCTAATTAAAGAAATCGAGGTGTTTGCTTGCGTGTGTTTGAAGCAACAAACAAGCTCCCGGACACAATGGCGGCGGCGGCCACCCCACCTCTGCCGGAAAAACCAGACAACTCCGGCGAGAACCGAGCCAAAGAAACTGTCCTCGAGGACATGCCCTTCGTGTCCACGAAAGGCGACGGCCCCAATGGGAAACGCATCGAGGGTTTCCTGTATCGGTACAGGAAGGGCGAAGAGGTGAGGATCGTGTGTGTCTGCCATGGAAGCTTCCTCTCGCCGGCCGAGTTCGTCAAACACGCCGGCGGCGGTGACGTGGCACACCCTTTGAAGCATATAGTCGTCAACCCTTCTCCTCTCATGTGATGTGATGTCTTTTTAGCTGTTACTTGTTCCAAGTATTGTATCCGACATTGATGAGGGATCTCTCGTATCTTCGGGCTTTGAGCTTTATACAGTTTCTTACCGCCTCGATTTCACATTTTGTATTATATCCGACATTATTGAGTTTGGATTTATCTTTGTTTCAGCTTTTAATGAAAGTTGGTTCCTTTATTTTTCGGGTATTCAAATTTCATTAAAAGATGTCTTATTTGGGCCCTGAATCTATTGGGCCTATTGGTGGCCCATTAAGGATCCAAGATACACTTGTAGCTTGTGATGTGGATATCTCTGGTTCGTCGTTACTACTGTTTTTTTTTTTTTTTTTTTTTTTTTTTTTTTTTTGGGTTTGCGGATGAGTTTTTGTAAAATTAAATGGAGGATTTGCTATAGACGCAGGTTTTCAGTAATGTTATTCGGCCCCTTCAACTGTAAGTTTTGTATTTTTTCCTCCCCTAACTTTAGTTTTGTGCACTTTCACCCTTCAAATCCAATCGGGCCATTGAAAGAATTAAAAATTGATATGTCTTTTTCTTTTTCTTTTTTCGTACAAAATCTGATGCAAAGAAACAATTCCGATTTGGGAATTCTATTCTTGAAAATTGGAAAAGCATGATCCGAAATCCAAATGATGTATAATATCGTACAACATTGGCCAATAATATTTCCGATCATTTGAAAGATGTAGTCGATCAAAGTAACTTCTAAATCATAAAAAATAAAAAATAAAAGATTGGCCTTACCAGATTAGAGTTTAAAGATTCTTATTGACCATAGATTTCAATTACTTATCTTTGAATTTGACCAAACACAATTAACTTTGAAAAGAGGACATCAAACTAAAACTAATCTTGTGTGAACGCAAAAAAGATTGAAAAATTTGACACGATTGTGCATGTGAATGAATTTCCAGATAATTTGTATTTTTTTTTTCTCTAATGGAAACGGTTCACTTGTATCACATGGAATGTGAAATGATCCAATAGAAAATGATGGAATGTGAAGGAATTTCCACACATACCTTTTGACATTTATTCAACAAATGAAAAAAAAAAGGCGATTATGTATAAGACGTACCTACTCTCACTATGCTTCCTCCATTATTTCTACAAAAATATAAAACGAATACAAAATGGTCAATGATAATACGGACCGTACCGTACCGTACCCTCTTTTTTTTTTTACGTAATTAATGTGTATGTGTTGTAAGAAAGAGGGCATGGGGGAACGATTTGTGTCCGAGGAGGATGGACGAACTCGAAGCTTAAAGCTCGAAGGTTGTCTCGTCACTTGCCCGTCGGATTTGGCGAGGCTTAAAGTCGACCCGTCTAGAAATTTTTACTATCGGGTAATTAGTTATATGATGAAAAATAGTTTGATTTTTTTTATATCATAAAATTAATATCTTTTTCGTCAATTTTATATCATTCAATTTAAATAATTTACACTATTTGACCCATGACTACTATGGCGAAAATTTTCAATATTTCTAAAATGACTAATGTCACCACATGATCGCGATGGGATATCTGCAACTACAACTAGGGCAACCACCATAAATGCAAAAAAAAAAAAAAACATTATTGGGGGAATCGTGTGTGTGTGTGTATATATATATATATGGAAATTAAATTAGTAAGATGGGCATGAAATAGGAAACACATTAGAAACAACCCAATTTAATTATCACAGTCAACAAGGCGTGTGTATGTGTATGCATGCATGGGGTTGACAATTGAGACAGAATATAAGAAATATTAATAATGGCTTTGAGGTCGAACCATAAATTCAAAATTCGTTTTGCTTTTGAAAATAAAAATTCCAATTTTTCGAAAAAGGTCATCTTTTGATTTGATCAAATAGACTTTTTCAACTGGTTCATCGATGGTGTAAAATTAAATATTATTTAATCTATCCCTAGAAAAACATTTTGAATTTATCACATAGACTTTTCAAATGGCTCATTAATGATGTAAAATTAAATATTCGTTGGACTTAATTTATCCCTAGAAAAACCGATGTTAAAGTAAACGAATTTGGATCTAACCATATTTAAAATTCACCAACAAGATTGTTTATTAAAGATTAACCATGAATTGAAATAATAGCATGGAAGAAATTTAAATACGATTTAGTTGAATTTTTATTTTCCAGTCCGTAATTAGGAATATTAATTGACTTTTAAGTGAATAGTATAAAAAAATTTACATTTCTTCAGTTGAATCTTCTTCCTCCGTTGTAAGGTCACATTCTCAAACACAAGTCAAGTCAATCCAAACACACAAAGCCGAATTTCTGTGCAGAAAACATATTGAGAGATTTTCCCGGAAAATTTCTTGCCCAGAAAATCTGCAAACTTCGGTATAAGTCAGGCACCAGCGATCTTCAAACGGGGCTCTTTATTCTTTCCTCGACTGTCTGTACGTTCTTTTTCTTGCCCATTTTGACCTGAACAATCTCTCTCTCAATTTGTTCATGCCTTGTTCATCGATTTCCCAAAGATTCATCCTTTTGAAACTTTCCTTGGTCGAAAAGTGAAAACCCTCTTCTTCTTTTTTTCCTGTCCGTTCTTAATCTCCATTGTTACAACTTTTGCAATCAGAGCCTTTTTGATGTTCCAAAAAGTTTGTGATTCTTCTACTTTTGTGGGTTTGTTTCGCTGATTTTCGTGTTGCTACGGTTAATCATAAATCTTTATGATTTGTGAGTGTTTGGTTGATTAAGTGAAGCAGAAAACGCATGTCAAGCATTAGTTTACTGAAGATTTGAGAATTAGGGTTAGGGCTAGATTGATTAGGCTGTTGTTGAATTCAAGCATAGAGAACTGATCGTGGAATTGGCGATTCTGTGGAGATGGGAGAGTTTGAGGTTGTGATCTCTGAGGTAGATGGAGAAGACAAGCTGATTGTTGCTGCAAATTATCTTGTCGAGCAACTAGGATCATGTCGGAACCTTAGCAACGATACTAGGAAGGTTTTATCCCATCTCTTATCGAAGCTGTCTCGTGTGGTAGCCATGGATGATACAGATGAGGAAGAAGATGGGATAAGTGAGATTGAGCAGAGGCTTAATGTTCTTGCTGAGAAGATTATGAGTAGGCAGGCCGATGAATCGATGATATGGGACTCGGGTTCTGATGAGGGTAACGAATATCTCGATGCAGTGAACGAGTTGAGAGTTCTGATCGAAAGGCTGGATAGTTTTCCGAGTTTAGGCAAGGCTGGAGCCGAGGAGATGTTGCTGAGAAAAGCTCATGATGCTCTTCAGACAGCGATGACAAGGCTCGAGGACGAGTTCTTGAATATGCTTGTTGAGAATCGGCTGCCCTTTGAGCCCGAACACATGTCTTTCCGGTCGGAAGAAGGATCTGTGGCTTCAAGTGAGGATTTGCTTCTTGGAGGAGGTATCAGCAGTAGGAGAAACTCGGGGGAAGCTGTGATTGATTTGGTTAACCCTTACATCATTCCCGATCTCAATAAAATCGCAAACGCGATGATCTCTGCGGGATATGGCCGGGAGTGTATCCAGACGTATACCATCGTTAGGAAAGAGGCGGTGGATGAGTTCCTCTACAATCACGAGATCGAGAAGATGAGCATCGAGGATGTGCTGAAGATGGATTGGTCGATCTTGAACTTGAATATCAAGAAATGGGTTCATGTTATGAGAAATTTTGTCCGGATACATCTCGTTAGCGAGAAGTGGCTGGGAAATCAGGTGTTCGGGGACCAAGTCCAGACCGGTTTAACATGTTTTCTCGAAGCGGTAAAGTCACCGACGATGCAACTGCTCAATTTCGGTGAAGCTGTGTCCCTCGTTCCCCGACAACCCGAGAAATTGCTCAGGATTCTCGAAATGTACGAGCTGATGTCTGAGCTTCTCCCCGATATCGATGCTTTGTTCTCAGATGATACCGGTTCAGGCGTTGGAACAGAGTACCAGCAGGTGATGACGGGACTCGGGTCTTGCGCAAGATCCACATTTCTCGAGTTCAAGAACGCGATCGCCACCGACGTTTCGTCGAATCCTGTCCCGGGAGGTGGGGTTCACCTCCTGACAAACTACGTAATGAACTACCTCATGGCCCTCACCGATTTCGGTGAGACCCTCGACTCGCTGCTCAGAGAACACGACGAGGCAGCGAATCTGTCGACGACAACGCCACCATCCCCAGATATCGGTCCGGCAATCGAGGAAGAGGAGACAGGTCAAAAATCTCCGTCGTCGGGGCAGTTCCTGGTAATGACCAGACACTTCTACTCAATCACAACGGTTCTTGAATCAAACCTGCAGGAGAAATCGAGATTATACAGAGACGTGGCCCTGCAACATATATTCCTAATGAACAACGTCCATTACATGACACGGAAAGTGATGAACTCCGAGCTGAGGAACATCTTCGGGAGCAAATGGATAAGAGCCCACACGTGGAAGTTCCGGCAGCAGGCCAAGGAGTACGAGAGGGCAACCTGGTGCAGTGTCCTGGATCTGCTGAAGGGGGAAGGGGGGAGAGGGTTGGGGTTAGGGGCGAGGGAGAGGTTTCAGAGCTTCAACGGAGCGTTTGAGGAGGTGTACAAGGTTCAGACAGGGTGGGTGATAGCAGGGGAAGGGCTCAGAGAGGATCTTAGGACATCAGTTTCGCAATGGGTGATCCAAGCTTACTGGACGTTTTACAGCAGACACAAGAACAATGTCAGTGAGAAGTACGTGAAGTACAATCCTGATGAACTTCAGTCCCTCTTGCTGGATCTCTTCTCCGGCTCTCCCAAGTCCTTGTCCACTTCCTATCGCAGGTCTTCCTTGCATTAATCTTTGATTATATATATATATATATATATATATATATATATATATATATATATATATATATATATATATATATCTCATATTTATTCACGTTTTACAGCAGACACAAGAACAATGTCAGTGAGAAGTACGTGAAGTACAATCCTGATGAACTTCAGTCCCTCTTGCTGGATCTCTTCTCCGGCTCTCCCAAGTCCTTGTCCACTTCCTATCGCAGGTCTTCCTTGCATTAATCTTTGATTATATATATATATATATATATATGTATATATATATATATATATATATATATATATTTATAACTTAAATTTAATCTTTGATTGTATTCCACTGGAGATATATATATATATAATCTACTAATGTTCGGTTAATGTGTAAGCTAAAGATACCATGTTTTGGAAAATATTTTTTCAATAATAAGTTTTGTCTTGTTTTTGAGTAAATATTTATATTTATTACCAATACGGTCCAAATTTAATATTCACGTAAAAACGCACTACAGGAATGGACCTTGACCACTCCATTCAGCTTGGTCTGGTCAACGGCGAATACTTTTCCTTTTTTTAAAAAAAATTATATATTTAATTTAATTACGCATGCCACGTGGCCATGACTCGGTTTTCATAAATAAATAAAAGATCTCGAACTATTGAGAATGGGCTTTTACATCTATAGCATCTAAATTGGGCCTAGGTCGTCGTGAAAGCCCACTTGAAAGCCCATAGTGTAAACTTCCTTTCGCACACAAAACACGTGACGTAAATCGTTCACGTCAGTTCGTACCAAATGCATGCAACGGTAAGAAATAAGAAACCGCAATTAATCCGAAGACCATCCAATCTTTCTAAACGAAATCAAATTTTTTATCAAATTTAAAATTGGTCTATGTGAAAAAAGCCATGAAATTTAAACGAGGTTAAAGATTAAAAAAGATAAAAAAAAAAACACATAATACGAATCATCTAAAGCATACAAATGTTTGATCCCAAAATTTACAAAAATTGAAATGAAAATATATGAAATTAAAAGAAGAGAAAATGAAAAATATAAAACAGCAAAGAAGGCACATGGTAGGGTTGCAACATGGGGGGACTAACAAGTCACAATCATCAATTAACATAAAATTACACACACATCTTATCAAAAAAAAAAAAAAAATTACACACACACACACATATGTATATATATGTATGCATACACACACACACACACACATATGTATATATATATATATATACTGGACAAAAGATACGGCACACACACACTCCTTTACAGTTCACTTAGATATTATCTCTTCCTCACTTGCTTTTTATGCCCCCTTTTGCTACTTTAGGTTTTACTTCTTTGGAATTCTTTTGTTTTTTTCATTTCACATGATTATTAAAAAAGAGAGTGTAAAATTTCCCATTTTATAATGTCTGACGATATGTTCTTTATATTAAAATCCCCCTTTTTTGTCATTTAAGGAAATATTATTATAATTATTAATACGTGTATACATTATTAAATTTAAAGACAGAAAGTATCCTTTGTTTTAGCTAAGATCACCGTAACCAGTGGCGGATCTATTTGATGAGGAGTGGGGGCACAGGCCCCCATTCAAATTAAAAAATAATAAAATTTGTGTATAAATTTTGTAAAAATACTAAAAAAAACTGTCCAATGCCCCCATTAAAATTACATTTGGTTTTATAAAATTATATGTATAAAATTCATGCCCCCACTTATATTTTTTTCTACATCCGCCACTGACCGTAACTCGGGAAATTAAAAAAAAAAGCAATGGATAGGCTAATAATTATCAATTAACGAATGTTTTGATGTTATTGTTGCATCGGATTCGTCGTCCTAATTAAACCAATGAGACCGAACCCTAAACGGCGTCGTTCCTTGCATTCTATGGCTACGAATATGATTATACGACATGCACAAAATCAATGTAAGATATGAGATAGCGACAGTTACTATCTGACAAAATAATAAACGCACGTTAAACTGTGGTATTAAAAATAATAATAATTCACAAAAAAAAAAAGTTTTTACATACATACATACACAGATACATGTTCCTTGCATTTTATAATAATAAAACCTAATCAACAAGATATATGTTCATCGAAGTGGCCTTTCCTAATTCAAAGTTTTTACATACGGTAAGATTGAAACAAAATATTTACTAGTAATTTAAAAAACTAACAATAATAAATGCATCTATCTGGCCGGATAAAAGAATTTACTGTTTTTACACTACTTACATATATAGCTCAACATTCATAATGATCCAACGGATGATTGTATTCATTAAAGAGAATCGGTTCAAAAATACATCATGTGAAATGACATAAACGTAGAAAAATAATAACATAAATATATATATATATATATATATATATAGACACTATAAAACCACATTATCGTGGTTATCATCATCGTCACCGGAAGACCCATAGATCTCCACCAACTTCTGCAGCAACAAGACTTGGCTCCTCAACCTTATTATATAATCCGCCGTCTCCCGGAACAGCTCCTCCGTCGCTCCTCCGCCGTCGATGACGTCATCCCGGCGATGGTCCTCAGCCGTCGCCGGAGTCGGGAGAAGGCTCTTCAGCGCCCGGAGCTTCTCCGACAGCCTCTCTCCGCCGCCACGGCAGCACGCGCCGACACTCCTCGCACGTGACGCACGTGC